GGCGTCCGGGTCGACGCGCGCTGACGCACCGCGCGCTCGTGCTCGCGGCTCCGACTGCGCGCCGCGTCGGCCACGCCCTCGAGAAGAGTCCGGGGCTGAAGGGCCACGGGACTAGAGGCAGGAGCCGCACGGACGCGAGCGAGCACGGCGCTCCGCCCCCTTGTCTCTGAGGAAGGGGCGGGGCCCGGAGACCGTGGGTCACCGCGCTGATCTCCCTCACGCTCATCGCCGGGCGCTGCGCATGCGCGCGGGCTGGTCCCCGGCGTCCCTGGCGCTCGCGGGTGAGAGACACCTGAGGGGAGCGGCTGATTCAGGCTCCTGGAGTCGACAGGGGACTGAAGACACCGAGGTGTATTTCTGACTTTTTCGCCGTAAGTCCGGCCACTGGCCCCGCCTGTGCCCACGTCCGCCTGGCCACTTCAAAAAAGGATGTCCCGGCCGCGCCACGGGAGACTGCCTGTGCGGAACAGCCCCTTCGCCACACGCCCCGCTTAGCTGGAAAGTTCCTCTCGGCGCGCAGCTTCCAGCCGCACCGCGTCGGGGACGTCGAGACTTCATGTGGGGCCCGGTCTCCTCACCGCCCTGGGCCCTCAGAGGCCTCTAGGAGGCTCAGCTTTTCGGGACTCCCTCAGAGCCCTGAAGTCCAGGCCTTGCCGGCCGAGGAGAAGCCCCCTTGTAAGGACATTTTCAGACTCAACCTCCCTCCAGGCGATTCCTAGGAAAATGGGCAGCAGGGGCGCTTCCTCTGCCAGTCTCCGCCCCTGCACCCCCACTTCTCTAAATGCTGTTCCGCAGCTTGCACCTGGCGCCTAGAGAGCTGTGGAAACCCCACGCCACTCCGCAGACCTCTCACACACACCCGAAGCCACTCGCTCTTGCAGCTAGCAACTCAGCCTCTCGTTTACCCCAGGGCTGCCACCTGTGTTAGACCTTCTCCACGTCCAGGATGAACCCCACTGCCACCTGAGGTGCACAGCTGTGTGGAGGTCATTCTCCCAGATGCAAATTGCAGCCTGTTACCCAAGCACCTCAAAGAGCAGTGGTTCCCTGTAACTTTTAGGGGACGCTTAGAGCCCTAACTTAGACTGAATTCCACTATCATGCTGAGTTCGACCAATAATAAGAATGAGCTTGGAAGAGAAACCCCAGCTTCAGATGGTGCACAGGGCCATATTGGGGTCAGTCAGGGTATTCAGAGAAGTGGCATTGGAGGGAAATGACACTTAGGTGTGGGCTCTAGCAGTGCTCGTTGCTTCCGAGTTAGCCCATATTTCGAGCTTTTTCATGAAAGGCTTTAAAGTAAAATGGAAGGAAACAGCAAAAAAAAGGCTTTAAAGTAAAATGGAAGGAAACAGCAAAAGGGAATTCCCTCGTGTTGGTGGGCTTCACCCGATCTGTTGAAGGAAAAAGGTAGTTATGGACACTTCCAAGATGGCTGCCTCTAGATGTACTGAGTCTAGAGGAGAGCCAGTTAAGAGGCTCCCCAAGAGCTCAGAAGATCCTTGGAGAACCCAATTTAGGAAGATAAAGTTGATGCAACATCAGTCATGACCATATTAAAAAGTTCCCTTAGAGGTTAAATTAGGGATAACTACTTAGAAGACAGTGTCACCAAAAAGGACACAGTGACCACAAATTGTATTTCAGGGCAATCCAATAATTAGTGAAGGAAGTTCATGCTTTCATATTACCTAGAATTTTAACTAAGTGCAGAAGGAATATTTGCATTTAAAAGTGACCACTTTTAACTACTTTTTACACCAGACCAGGTCATTCACATAGGCAGTAATCACTAGTAACTGCTAAATTCATTAGGTGAAGTTAGTGTGATGGGTAACTTTATGGGTCAGCTTGATGGGGCCTCAGTAAACCCAGACAGCTGATTAAACATTATTCTGGGTGTGTCTGCAAGAGTGTTTTTGAGTGAGAATAACATTTGAATCAATAGACCAAGTAAAGCAAATTGCTCTCCCTCCTGTTGGTGGGCCTGGTCCAATCAGTTGAAGGCCTGCATAGAAGAAAAAGGTGACTGACTCTTCTGCAAGTACCAGGAACTCCTCCTGCTTTACTGCCTTCACCAAGACACTGATCTTTTCCTGCTTTCACACTTGAACTGAAACCCTGGCTTATGGGTCTCCAGCTTGCTGTCTTTCAGCATTCCTGCTTCTCAGGCCTTTGGACTCAGACTAGACCTGCACCATTAACTCTTCTGTGTCTCCAGCCTGCTCAGTCTCAATAATCACGTGAGCCAATTCTTTATTATCTCTACTGTCTGTCTGTCTGTACTGTTAGTTCTTTCCCTGATAAGATGGTAGGAAAGGAAATTTTATAGTGGAATTAGCAGTACATCACCTGTATTCATTTAATAATTTACCTCTTTAAAAGTGGGACACTGGATATCATGTACTTTAAGATATGATATAATAAGTAATACGCAGCAGTAATTCTCTTAGTTTGTTCAAGGGGCACACATGGAAAGAGATAGTCACATGTGATTTGCCAGGGGGTAATCTACAGGTTGGGGAGGTGATAAAGGAAGGAAGTCAATAGAGAGCATGTTATAAGCAGCCACTGTGTGCAAGTGCAACTTAATCCCACCCAGATCGCTTGAGAAGTGGTGTTGAATATGTGCTTCAGAGGATATTTATCTGGTAGGTGAGAGCTAGGCTGTTCAGTCAAGATCTTCAAGGACTACTCCCAAGAGTGTTCATTCTCGGGTCCTTTTAGGTTGCAGAGCACATGGCAGAGGAGACCCTGGCCAAGGAAAGCCCTCCCTTGGACATGAAAGTAAAGTCACAACTAGTGTCCTTACAATAAGAAAAAAAGCATTGACACATTTTTTTTGTTCTCGTTCTTACTACATAAGAGAATAGAAGAGGGAAAAAAAATCCACAAAGAAAACCACCCCCCCCCAAAAAAAAATAAAGCAAAAGGAATACCATGCCAGAAAGGAAGGATAAAAATACTTTCAAATACTTTCATTTCATGACTTAACACTAACTTACACATACTTAATAATATCATTACAAATGTAAACCATAATGAAATTGTAGTATGGCCAGTGGAGACGCTGAGGGCATGTGATAGTGATGAGAGGAAAGGGGCATAAGTCCTCATTTGCTATGGTTTGAAATCAGTAGATACTGCCTAAGATACGAAGATCAAGAATAGCAATACATCTGTGATTTCAAGAGATGGAAATATGTACCAAGAGAATTAGGAACAAGAATGCAGAGTGGTTCCCTAGAGAGGAAAAATGGGGGAGAAGAGGAAACAACCAGGGGTTTGCTCTGTCATAAAAATTTCTTGTAGAATTTTGTAACTAAACTATTTGAAACTATAATTTTAACACATGTACAAAAACACTTTTTGAAGAGTGAGTTACAGGCGAGATAAAACAAACATGTAAGAACAACCCTTAGGCTATTGGCTCCTTACTCTGTCTCTCACCGCCCCTGTACCTCTGGCCTGTACCCCAGTTCTGTGTGCATAAATAAATAAACCTTTAAAAAAAAAAGAAAAACAGGGACAGGAAATGGGATATAAGACTATATCCAGAATCAAGGAATGATATTTTTAAAAGAAAAGCTAGAGCAAATTTTGATGAGAGTGGTCCAACAGAATATACATCCTTAAGGTTGGGGCCCAGAGTGCAAGCAAAAGTGGGTGCAGCCTGCAGAAGAAAGTAAAAGGAGAAGGTGGGCTCAGATGCAAGTCCGCTGTAGAGATGGAGACAAGACGAGGGATATTCCACTGGGGGCTTTTTTCTCATCTAAGTATGAGGCAGGGCCATTCGTGGGAGAAGACCGTATTTTGAGAACCACTGCTTTGAATAGCAGATGGGCCTTCCTGAATATCTTGTCAGTACAGTAGTCCTCAGTGTTGCCAGTCCTTGGGAACGTCAACTTTATGCAGAACAACATAGAAGAAAACCAAGTCTTCAAATTATTTCACTCAGTGTTGGTTGGGATTCTTTATTATTCATGTTATATGAAAATGTTATTCAACAATCTGAGTAATTAGCCTGAAACACCAAAATACTCTCCCTCATAACTTAACTGGATATGCCAAGGTCTCTAATCTGAAAAGAATGCATTAAATATTTTAAGCTAAACCGCGCAGGGTGTATTTTAGCCATCCAGATACACAGGTATTGGCAACAACAGTGAAGTCACTCAGCTTGGCCGCCCTTTACTGTGTTACTACTGGAACATCAATCTCAGCAGGTTGTCCGGCCGGGATGAGCAGAATTAGAAAGATTACACATAAGTCAGGAGTAAATGTGCCCCAGAATCTCAGCCACCCTCCAGACTCTCAATTTTGAAATCCTCACCCATTGAGATATTGAGCGATAATTTGGCAGCAGATGAGGATATTTGCTTTCCAACTGAAAGGAATCCTGCAGGTTCAGGGAAATCCCCTCTCTTCTACCCATCTCACTTCTGAGTCTTAGCAGAGATTTCTTAGTCTATGAGAAAATGTGTGGTCTACTCAAGGCAGCCCCCTTTTCTCAACAAGTAGCACAGGTGAAGATACAGGACGTGAGGTAAAACCATATCTCCTCCACCAAAGGGACTTGATTTAATGATGAAGAGAGGAATAAAAGTGAATGATGCCCTGAAACATCATCTGTCAATTTAATCTGAAGCATTGTCTTGTAGTTGGCATATTTTTTCTTAGGGAAAAAAAAGTCCCCAAACAGTGAATTTCATAAAGCCAGTTACTAAAAAATGATATTTTAAAATAATTTGTCCATAATTCAAAGAAAATCTTGATAGTAAATGGAAATAACTTCCTCAAATTCTAGATTTTCTAAATATTACATGGCCTTGGGTAAATCTTATGACTTCTGAGGATGGAGAAGTAGTTGGATAAATCTATCTCAGGATTCTTCTACTTCTAATTTATTCTAGATTTTTAACTTACATGCCATTGTTACCAAGCAAGTGGGCTCACTACCCAATGTGCACAGAGACGATACCACATCAGGTTTGAGAAATGAAACTTGTTTGACAATCACTTGAGAACGAAGTAGAAAATCAACTGAAATCTGCCTCCTAATTAAGAAAAGAAATGAGATTATATAGGTTTGGGGAACCAGGTCGAGAACAAAGAATTTAACATGTATTGTCTAAAAAACGGGTTGAGCAAAGGAATATAGATGTGGCTGAAGTTCACTGGTTCATGCAGAGCATCTCATGCGTGAGCTTGCATGTCTGTTGATTTCCTGGTTTGTAAGTAGCCCAGCTACTCTCAACTCCACCTGCCCTGAAAATAAGCTAGTTCAAGTTTAATTGATAAGCCTCCAGGCTCTGCTGTGTGAAAGCAAATTTCGGAGGAAAGTTGAGGTATGTCTCTCTTTTGTACTCATAGGTTCTGAGAGGTTAGCCTCCATTACCTCATTTATACCTGGAAATAAGGATTAAACCACACCTTCAGATTGTCTTTAAGTGCCTTACTGCATGTAAAATGTGGTCTTAAAGTGTTAAAGTGACCGAGTGGAAGCGACTAGACCAAGCTGCAGCACTAAACCAGCATATATTCTCTTCCCTAGCCTATTTCAGCATAGTGGTTATGAGAGTTAGCTGTGTTGTGTCTATCATTGTTCGGGTTCTGTCTCATTGAGGCTTAGCATTGTATCCTATACCACATGGCTGGTAAATTAACTTTTAAGCGGGGTGCAGAGTGCTGGACGGTGAGTTGTTGACTGAAAAACAGATCACAGGAGAAAGAGATCCCAGCACTTTGGTTGCTCACAGGTCCTTGACGAAGTCTGTGGCACACATTGAGAGGCCTATTGAGAGATCCAGGTAGGATGCAGGCAGAGGCAGGACCTATGGCTCAGGCCCTAGATATTAGGGTTCAATGCTTTGGATTTCTCAGACTAAGCCTGGACTGGTTCATTCAAAACAAAATAGCTTGTATTACTAAGCTCCTCAGGGGTCTTATGTACTGGGCATGCTAAGGGCCTGCCAGGCTGAGACACTGTAGAACACCTGGGCTGCTGGGGACCCATCTCAGGAGCTTACAGTGTGTGACTTGTGACTCTGGCCGTTGTCCAGGGGTGCACCTACAACTGTCGTCGGTGGAAGACCCCGCAGGCTACTCCAGCAGATCCAGTGGCTGCCTCAGTGGAACATGGCATGGCTTAGCAAAACTCTCACCATATGGATATACTATATTTTTTTATTCATCAGCTGATGGATATTTGGTTAATTTCTGTTTTGGACTATTGCGAGTCAACAACTATACACAAACAACCTAGACAAGTCTTTGTGTAGATGTTTGCTTTCCTTTTCCCTGGGCAGATACATAGAACAGGAATGGATGTGTCATATGGTAGGTAAATGTTTAATGTATTTTTTTAAGTGCCAAGAACTTTCCCAAAGTTATTGTACAGTTTTACATTCCTGCCAGTGAGTTGCTCTTTTCAATGTTAGTCATTGCAGTAGTATGCAGTGGTGTCTTGATATCTTGGTATCTCACTGTGTATTTAATTTGCACTTCCCCTGGGACTAAAGGTGTTGATCAGCTTCTCATGTGCTTATTGGCTATCTGAGCATCTTCTTTGCTCTAGAGTCTGATCACGTCCCTTGGCCATTTTCTACCTGAGTTGGTGCTTCTGCCCTTACTGAACTGTGAGAGTGCATATATCTTCTATCTCGGTTTATTTTGCACCTGTAGTTCAGCAGTCTTTTTTTTTGTTTTAACATGTTTTCCATGTCTCCATTTAGCACAAGCCATGGTCCCCTAACTCTCTGACTGGTAGGTCATCAAGCTCCTTCTGTAATCTGTTTACATTGCTTTGTACTAATTGATTTTTTTTTGCACGTAGGGTCACATCTTTTCTCCTCACCCTCTTTAGCCGACTGCTGATATTGTAAATTTGACCTTATTAGATGCTGCATATTTTTGTGTTCCTGAAAATATCCTTGGCATTATTCTGGGTCACAGTGAATTGACTTGGACACAGTTTGATCGTCTCAGGGCTTGTTTTGGGCACCACTGGTGCTCTGGGTGGTACCAGAGCACCCTTCAATCTATGATTAATTGTGCCCCGCCATTCAGAATGGTGTTTCAAGATTTTGTCTATATCAGAGTTTTCCATTCTGGCTATGGGAAACTGGTCAGTTTCTGCTGGGTGTGAGCTCCAGGCATTTCCCCGCCACTCCTCCTGGGTCCCTTTCTCTTTCCTGTGGTGGTTTCACACTTGCCTTTGTTCAGGCAATCTTTGTGCCATCTC